CATCCCCGCCCCATCATCATCATCATCACCATCATCACCATCATCACCAATCTACCCGTGCCCTACCTACCACGCTATTACCCAATCAATAGTAGATAGGATTGCCCCGCCCTCAATTTACATCAAAATTCATTTTACTCATTTCTAGAATCCATTTTATATTCTTTTTTTGTACATTCGAAAACACTCAAACGTATATTCTTTCTCAAACGTATTTTCTTCTTTCGAAATTTTCGAAATACATAGGATTAAGCATTCTCTCTCGACATTTCATCTTCGAAATTCGAAAATCAGTTTAATCAATTCTTTTTTCGAATTTTTTTTTCAAAAATTTCAGAATTAATTAAATTCTTTTTCGACATTTCTTTTTCATAATTCGAAAACATTCCTTATTCTTTTTCGGAATTTTTGTAATTTGGAAAACATTTAAGAATTAATCAAACTCTTCCTTTTCGTAACTCGAAATACGTTAGAATTTTTTTTTTCTTTTTTTTTCTTTCGACATTTCTTTGAAATTCGAAACTACTTTCAATTCATTTGTTTTTCTCTTCGAAAATTTTGAAAATATTTTAGACCTAATTTATTTATTTTTCAACATTTCTTTTTCAACATTTCTTTTTCAAAACATTTCTACTTAATTTTTATTTATTTTTATTTTTATTTTTTTCGAAAATTTTGAAAATACGTTAGAATTAATTATTTTTTTTTATATAATTCTAATTAATCCTTTTTCCTAGTATTTTAATTCACAACTTCTTTTCGCAATTTTTGTTGAAATTCGAAACTTTTTTTTACAATTCGGAACTACCTTTCTTTTAAAAATGTTATTCTAAACCCCTCAATTAATTTCAACTAAATTCAATTAATTCCCGAATGAATTAATCCCTTTATTCAAAATTCATTATCCTTTTTCTGAAATGTCCACATTTTCCTTTTTGAAAAATTCTTGCCAAATATTTAAAAATTTTCCACTTCCTAATTTTATTTTATTTTTCATAATTTTATTTATTTCTTCATTTTTCCCCGTGATTCAAAAATATTTTCTTTCGAAATTTCACGTTTTTTTGTAAATAAATTTAAATCTAAATCAGAATTTATTTTTTCAAAATTAATTAACTCTTTCTGTTCAGCGTTTATTTTTGAAAAAAAAAAAAAAAACTTGCAGATTATCTTTATTTTTGAATTTATTAATAAATAAAATAGGGGATTTCCCCCCACCCTCCACATGCCACCACGCCAAACCAAGAACTCCCAACGTGCTGCCGCCGCCGCCACCGCTGCTGCTGCATCTTCCAC